CACTTGATTGGGTAATAAGCTTTTACTCAGTAGTTACTCACTTTTTCAAGTCCAAACACTAGTCTCTGTCATCTTGTATTATATAAAAGTTGCTTGATTATATTTCCTTAAAGTTTGGGCTTGATGATATCGATAAAATGATATTTATTTTAGTTCGGTATAACAAAAGCGTCTGTAGTCCAACGGTTAGGATAATTGCCTTCCAAGCAATAGACCCGGGTTCGACTCCCGGCAGACGCACATAATTTTTTTCATTTTTTTTTTTCAAAATTCTTGAAAGGATAATGAATAATAAGATTTCAACTGCTGGCTGTGGGGTTCGAACCCACGCGCACTTATGTGCAGAAGAACTTAAGTCTTCCCCCTTAACCTCTCGGGCAAACCAGCTTCAATGATAACATGTAAAGAATTGTAATCTATATTTATATAATGATAATTTTCTCTCCAATATCAAATACTAAAATGCCTTAATCTACTAATCAATCGACATTTCATGGTTACAAGTTTCAATCTTCCGAAGATCAGCAATTGAAATTGGCAAGCGACCTACTTCTGTGGAATCCTATCCAAAATAGCTTCAGAAGGGTCACAGAGAATGTTCTTTAAACTTGTAAGATGACATGGAAAACATAATGCAAACTTATAAGTTCTAACACAGAGAAGATTAAAAACTAGCATTTTTTGTTTGGAAATGTAACATGTGTGTCAAAGCTTTTCCTCTGTTACCAAAACCTTTAAAATCAACGTTCTGTTTAGGAATTTTCCCACTCAAGCTTCTTGTATGGTTTCTCCAAATTTCCATTTCCATTTGTATGGTATGCATGGTTACGACAAAGAAGTGTGTGATGTTGAAGTTGATGGTGACCAAGGTGCCATATCCATGGGGTAACTTCCTAGCACCCTCAAGAACGATGTAAACTCCTGAACCTCCGATAGTGCGTTCTGAGCACGAGCTTCCGCCATCGAGGCCTCGAAGTCGACGTAAAACATGTACTCGAAATGCTTTGCCGTACCGACGTTTGCATCGTCGACGAACCTCATCGGACGGTTGTGATTTGGCCTCGATTCGATCTTCGTCAAGCTGATGTCTCTGAAGGCGAATGCCGAAAGCACCTTGAAAAGCACGCTTGTGCCTTTCTCGTGTGCGAAAACAATGCTCGTCTTGAACGGACGATCCGTTCTTGGTATGATTGGCTCACGCGCCAGCATCACGAACCGCGTCACGTTACTCGGGTCGTCCTGAATCCCATCTTCCAAAATCTCCAACCCGTAAATCTCCGCGGCACGCGCGCTTGCGATCGCCGCTGTGTCGCGGAGGTTGTTTGTGGCGATGAACTCAGCGGCTCCTGCCGTGTCGTCGACTGCCTCACGCGCCACATTGAGTCCGAGCTTTGTGAGCGTGTGCTCACACTGAGCGAGACCTTGAGGATGCGAGATCACGCGCGTGAGGAACTCTTTGCGTACACCGGGAAGAGCTAATAAACAGTGATGAACAGGGAGCTGAACTTCACCGACGATGTGAAGACGATGACGGAGGAGGAGATCGTAATTCCGATGAATCGAACCACCGAGAGAATTCTCCACCGGTAAAACAGCTCGATCTGCGATCCAAAGCTCCACCGCTTGGAACGCAACCTCAAATTGATCGCAAGGTACAGCTTGGCAATTAGGGTAAGCTTTACCGGCGGCTGCTTCAGAGTAAGCTCCGGGAACGCCTTGATACGCCACGCGTAGATTAGATCCGTGCATCGGAGCCCGCGAGAGATCCGTAGCACTAAGAGGCTTTTGCAGATGATGCGAGACCAACGGATTGCTATCAGATTTCTCAATCGGAACTAGATTCATCCCCAAAACTCGCGCGGCACCGTTATCGCCGTTCACATGATTGACTCCGCCGGAAACTGGAGGCACCGGTAAGGATTTAGATTGCTCCTGAGAAACAACTTTGCTTGTTAGAATAGCGCATGAGCTCTGCCATTGAGAACGACTAGAACCACAGGAGTCAGATCCATTCGCGTAATGTACCAATGGATTTGACCGCACCATCCGCGCCGTCGCCGTCACCGGAACTACCGGCTGGTTAGACCCCAACATCGGTTTCAGATTGTGAGGAGAAGGCGACGATACAGCTTTCATGTTCAAGCAATGAAGAAGCATAGGTGAGAAAGTTGGTGCTTTCCAAAGCAGAAAACAATGTCTGCTTGCGTGGTCAATTCTCCACCTACCACTACGACCACACCTTCCTCCCTCATACTGGAGAGGATAAGTTGACCGAAAATCGAACCGACTCAATCCGGTTTAGTTTAATATGGTTTAATTAAACCGACTTTCTCCAAAGCCCTTTTGTGAGAGTTGAGGTGATTCGATTTTGCAGAAGCAGTCGAGGAAGGAAGCTAAGAGATATGGCAGCAACTGGTGTAGCTTTTAGGTCTACGTTTCTGAGTCGGAGCTTGAGAACACCTACAGTACGAAGTTTGATCTCTCCCAAAGGTAGATTCACCGTTCCAAATTCTAATTGTACATCTTCGCCTCGTATCAATATTTCTTCTTCTCGTCAAGCTCGATTGGAAGGCTGTGTTTCCAGGTAAAATTTGCTTTCCCTCGTCTCTGAATCGTTTGGTTGTTTCTGATTTCTCGGTTTGAGTTTTGCATTTGATTCTATTTGAAAAGGTTTCTACGGCGAGAACTCTCCTCTCAGCAACCATTTCACTCCGCCATTGCTTCCGCTTGCCTCGTTTCGAAACTCCCCTCTGATGTCACCGCTTCCTATGAAGGTATCTGTTTCGATTTTTGACTGGAATCGATCGAGTAAGCTTGTGCATTTCGGGTTTTAGGGGTTTAGATGAACGAATTGGGTTTTTTTAGATCTTGTTAAAAACTGAAATTATAGAGGAAAGAATTGGCTACTATTAACGGAAGATTAGTATCAGTTACTTGGATTCTTGCACATATGAGTACTAGTTTTGAGGAATCCATTGTYTAAAACAGCCATGTAAGAAATGATATTCGGTTTTCAGTGTTTCAAAAATGAGATATACTGAAAGGGTTACTTCACTAAGCTTTTAGGATCAAACTGATTTCTCTTGTTTTTGTGATGGTCATTTAGTTTTTCTGTAATAATTGTGCACCATTCTTGTTGATGAACAAGGTGTTGTTGCATTAACTTTTTCTCTTTACGGTTTCTTCTGTTCAATGAAGAAAATGATTGTATCATTTGGATTTCCAGTATAGTTGACAATAGAATAAGCTTAGTTTCGACTCAAGAAAATTTGGAAGATTCATGTGGCTGTGTAAGTATAGGTTATTGAGCCATTAGCCATATTATAGTTCCCTGAACTCTAAAGAGGAAAAGTCAGTTGTGTAGGGATTCATGCTAAGTATTCTTGATCTTGTGATGTGAGTATTTGAACCAACGGTTATTCATGTATAAGGCTAACACCTTTTTTTTTTTGCCGGTGACAGGTAGATTTGCGAATTATATCAGTCCTATCTAAGTAGTAGAAAGCTAAGCAAGGTGAATGGCTTCAGGTCGGCCATGTGTTGCGCTATTTTGAAGTTGTTAAGTGAAATTCAGTTTTTCTTTCTTTCTTGGAAGGCTGAAGCCAACCATAGATGTTGTCAGGATATAACAGAAAACAAGATGTCTACCAATGAAACATCTTTTTTTTTTTTAAGGTGCAAATAGATTTTCAGATATTTTTGCTCTATGGTTTTCTCTAATAACACTTGCTCTATGGTTTTCTCTAATAACACTTTGAGATTCAGTTTTTTTGTTTCCTTAGCATAACAACATTGCATAAACTCATACTGAGCCCATCTATGTGTAGTTTTCCGTGGTAACTGCTCAGTAATCGCCAAGCAATCAATCGTGGCTGATCATGTAACCCTTTTCGACCCATGATCACGATCACATGTTAATCGTTTTGGAAAGGAACCTTCAAGGTCTATCCAGTCAAAACCCCGGCTTGCCAAAAAATGAGAGTATAAGCAATGGTTTTCTAATGAGAGGTTACGGAAGTTTTTATGACAAAATACAAAACTAAAGTAAAGTAGTATTGTTTTAGCATTTATTCGTTTTTCATAATCAAAAACAGATATTATACGGGCCATTATTGATGTTTAAGAGGCCCAGTTCACTTATTTCAATCTTTCCTTCTCAGTCAAAGGAATAGGTCAGGTACGGGTGACAAATAGCGTGAGCGATTTTCATCAGTGAAAGAAGTAGCCGATTATACAATTTTTGCGACGAGTGTAGGTATCTTACCGATCATAATCTTTGCGTCCTTATATGTTTGTATTGATGATCAATGATCATCCTTTTTCGATTATTTTGATTATTGAATTGATGATCATCCTTTTTCGATTATTTTGATCATTGATGTACTAAAATGTATTCTAGGTTTGGTTTCTCGAGACTAGGAAACTTGATTTGCCATTTTAAGATGAGTAGCTGCCTATTTAGGTCCTCTTGATTAGTATTGATTTTGGGATGTGGAATCGACATATCTAGATAGGTTTTGTTGATCTATTTTACTTGTTAAACCAGACTTTTCGTTGTTATACAGTTTTTGATGTGTCACGTTGGACTGATTTGATATACACTGTTTGTATTAGTGAACACATATGCATGTAGTCTTCCACTGATTGATTTTCATTGTAATATGTGGGAAAGTGAACACGCTCTAACTTGTTCTATAAACCAGTTGATGCAGCACCAGTGTGTATGAATTTGTAGTCCTTTTATTTTATGCTATTGGTCACATCTCCATGGAACTAATGATAAATCACGATGAGGATATTGTGAAAATGAATACCCTAAAATGATATTTCCTTGGAGACATTTATTTTATAGCTCACAATGGCGTTTACAAATCTGTCGAGGTTTTCATTAAGTAAAGGTTTTTTTTTTTTTTGGTTACTGCTTATAATGGACAGGGTAATATCTTAATTCATCATGGTAGTCAGAAAGGCTCTGGAATCTGTTTCTCGCTGGTTAGCACGAAAGGTATGATACCTCTTACAAGTGCCTACTCAAGTAGTCTAGTTCTCCAATGAAACATTTCATGTGAAAATTTGGATCAAAGTAGAGAGATAGAAAAGTGGTGTGCTGAATCCTATGTGTCTTAGGGTCCAAGAGAACGAACATCACCATGTGCCGGTGGCTCATCGGCTGAACCCGAAAGTGCACTTGAAATTTTTAAGAAAGTCCTTATGATAGCTGGAGTTATGACTGTATATGGCCCAGATGGGGCGATGCTTCGATTGATCGAGGCGAGAGAGAAAGAGGCCAAAGAAGCTAAAGAGGCCGAGGAAGCTAAAGCGGCTCAAGACTTGCCGAAATAAAGCTTATATGCTTGCTAGGGATGTGGAATGCGAGAGACTTTAACTACGTTAGTTGCTTTCTGTTATGCTACTTTTCTTGGATGTTGTAATATTCTGTGCTTCCATGTAACAGAATTGTTATGGAAACATCAAATTAATGGTCATGATGACATATTCTTTGAAATCTAAAACTACAAGTGCATATTAAACTCTAGATATGCTTTTAAATCAAAATCTTTGGAGAGAGACATCATTCAACAACATTCACCACAAAGTATACAACTAAAAAAGCAAACCACAACAAAAAATCTACAATCTATATACCAAAAATAACCGAACCAAAACCGAAATGAAATTTGATTTAAGTTAACTCGGTCGTTTCTCACAAACTGCTTAGTGGGTTGGTGGGCCAAATATGATGGAAACAGATCCAAATTTGCTATAATGGGCTTCTACATTGACCCAATTAGACTCCAAAAACGAGGGGCTTATTAGTAATTTGAGGAAATTTCCAAAGCGCGGGAAAATGATAAAAAGTTACTCTCTTTCTCTCTCTACATTTTCCCTTCTTCTCCAGTATCCACGAAGCCCTACTAGTAAATCCCTTTTGTTGGCCCTAATTTCTTCTCAGAACTGATTCGCATTTTCGAGACTTCTCCAGGAAGAAATTCTCCAATACAGGAGTCTCTTATTCTCTCTCGTATTCTCTAATTGCTGCTTCTTCGCCGGAAAAAATGAGCGGAGATAAACGAAAGTGGGATCGAAACGATTACCGGAGGTCGAATATGCAGAAAGTAGTGAACACTGCGGAAGATGAGCTCGAAGCTAAACTCGGATTTGGGCTTTTCTCCGAAGGGGAAACACGCCTTGGGTGGCTACTCACATTCGCATCAGTAAGTCTCCGATAATCAATCACACTCTCGTACTGAACTCAAACCTTGTTAATTGAGAGTAGATTTCGGACTCGATTCTTACGATTGTATTGGGGTTTTACCTCTTTATGTATATATGTAAATCTCTGTAATGAAAAAGAGGCACTGGCTATTGAGCCATACAGTAAACTGAACTCCGTAAGTGCGAGAATTTAGGATTTTAGGATGTGGGAATCAGCGAAAGGGAAATGGGTTTTTGATGTGATGATGTTTTAATTACTCTGGTGACTTACCTGGTAGTTCTCTGAATACAAACTCTGGCCTTCGATTTATAAGTACTATTATTCACTGATTTGGTTTTGCAGTCATCTTGGGAGGATCCTGACACTGGGAAAACCTATAGTTGTGTGGACCTTTACTTTGTTACTCAGGTGAGCTGTTATATATAGTCATTACTATGTCAGCTTCGTATAAGTTGATGAACATATATGTTTTCTTTGGCAGTCTTTTYTTTTTTTCTTCCAAAATTTAACTGAGTTATGAGGATTTTTTTTTAGGACGGGTTATATTTCAAGACAAAGTACAAGTTCCGTCCTTACTTCTATGCAGCCACCAAAGTATGATGGTTTCTCCCTGTACATCAATTGGATCATTCACGTAATTTTGTACTGTATGTCAATAAAACTGCAATGCCTAATTGCAGGACAAAATGGAATTGGAAGTTGAAGCCTACTTGAGACGCCGATATGAAAGACAAGTTGCTGATATTGAGATTGTTGAAAAAGAGGATCTTGATCTTGTAAGTCAGTAAAGCATATCTTGTTTTAGTTGAAGTCTGCCAGTTGGTTAGTGCCATTGTTTCTTGATTATGTGATGTAGTAAAGCCTAATGTGTTTAGTGCTTGTCCTTTAGTGCAATAGTATGCAAGATATGAAGATTTCAGTACTTTCTAGTCTTCGTTTCGCTTACTGTGTCTTTCTAACCTTTTTATGTGGCCTACCAATTAGAGGTTTTTAATTCTTATGTTCATGAGCAGAAAAATCATCTATCTGGCCTGCAAAAAAAGTACCTAAAAGTATCATTTGATACTGTGCAACAATTGATGGAAGTCAAGAGGGATCTGTTGCATATTGTCGAACGAAACCAGGCAAAATTTGATGCACTCGAAGCATACGAATCCATATTGGCTGGAAAACGGTAAGACAATGTATTTTTGGTTATTTTCTTCGGACATCTGTTGTTTCTTAGTTATTTTCAAGTATCTTTTCACATGTTTCAGATACCGTGGTTACTTATTTATTTATTCTTGGAATGCAGAGAACAACGTCCTCAAGATTGTTTGGACTCTGTGGTGGACCTCCGCGAGTACGATGTTCCTTATCATGTTCGATTTGCAATTGATAAAGGTAACCTATTTAGTCAAACTAGAATTTCTGTTTAGTACTCAATATTGTCAAATTCATGATGCTTTCATGGTGTCTAGATGTCCGAAGTGGGCAATGGTACAATGTCAGTATTTCCAGCACCGATGTCATACTAGAGAAGAGGACAGATCTTCTCCAACGCGCAGAAGTCCGTGTTTGTGCATTCGATATAGAGACATCAAAGCTTCCGTTGAAGTTTCCGGATGCTGAATATGATCAAATTATGATGATATCTTACATGGTCGATGGGCAAGGTTTTCTAATTATTAACAGAGAGGTAACTGCTATATACGTTTGTCTGTATAAGATATGATCCAATAGATGATAATATCTGATGAATAGGGATCGTTTTGCAAATCATTAACGGAGAGAAGCTGCTATTATAGCCATGCTTTGCCATCTTTTGGATTATGTCGAACAATCAGTAGAGGAAAAACTCATAAAGACGAGTTTTTCTTTATAATAAAGTGCACTCTTAATCCCAGAAAAATCATAAGTGATCCATATAAAATTATACTGCTTTGCTTGACTGATTTTGTATAATGTGACATTAAGACTTTTTGTTGACTAGTGTAAATTTTGCTATATAATCTTAAAATATGATCTGATTTGATAAAAAAATTTCATTGCATATGTCATCTCTGGTTGGTATCTCAGCTCTGTCCTTTCTTTAAATATTTGGACCACTTCAATCTTGTTTGATTACATATGTAGTATTTTGCACTTAAAATCAGTGTGTTGGCGAAGACGTAGAAGATCTGGAGTATACACCCAAACCAGAGTTTGAAGGCTTTTTCAAAGTCGCTAACGTTAAAAACGAGGTATAGTAAATTAGCTCCTGATTTAAGTATTACATCAGAAACATTGACGAGCTTAGAATCTAGCTACTTTCTTGGTTTTGTCTTGTAGGTTGAACTCCTTCGAAAATGGTTTTCCCATATGCAAGAGGTGAAACCCGGTATTTATGTTACATACAATGGTGACTTTTTCGACTGGCCATTTATAGAACGGAGAGCATCCCATCATGAGATCAAAATGAATGAGGTACGCAACACGTTTCCTTCATTGCGGCATTGTTAAAATTTCATCGGTCTGTGTGACTGAGGAAATATATGATCTACTTAGAAATTCTGTTTTGAAAAAGTTTATGACATTCTTCGCTGACATTCTATTTTTACCTTGTTAGTGTACCACTGCTTAAAAATAGAATAGTAACGCTGCTCAAGCGCTTCCTAGACCTTTACCAGGATGCCTACTTCTACATATTATTCGTCTCAGTCAATGAAATATAAATTTTCATCTTTCAAATATTTAGTGACATGTGTTTTGCGTTTGAACACTGATGTCTTATTCCTATTTCCAGAGCATAATGTGGTCTTGAGTCAGTTCCTATCTTAATCTTCTTTTTTTTTTTCTCGCGGCTGCAGGAATTGGGATTCCGTTGTGATCATAATCAAGGTGAATGTCGAGCTAAATTCGTTTGCCATTTGGATTGCTTCGCTTGGGTAAAACGTGATAGCTATCTTCCTCAGGGAAGCCATGGTCTGAAGGTTCATTTTTCTTCTTTCTCTTCGCCATTATATATCTTTTGTGGTCATAGAATCCTTTTGTGCATGAATTCATATTATGATTTTGAGTTATGCTTATCTCTTAATTAAATGCCAGGCCGTTACAAAGGCAAAACTGGGTTATGATCCACTGGAGGTGAACCCAGAGGACATGGTTCGTTTTGCAAAGGAAAAGCCACAGGTATTGTATTTCCGTATGATTTAAGTTTTTTAGACTTGGAGCTAGTTGTTTGATGGTCCTGCAATGGGCTAGAGTAACAGTTGATGATAATGATCAAGTAATTCAACTAATTGTCTCTTTAAGGGTTGAAGAAATGTTTTCCTGCGTATGTTAAACTCAATGTCTTATCAGTACGCAAAGTTTAGCAGGGAACATAGATAGATGTTGTGACTGATTACTTCAAGCAATTGTGGATTTTTCTAGTCTATGTTGTAGTACTTGCAAGATGCAGGGAATTGGGTGTGTTTTTCTTATTTCTTTTCCATGTCGCAGACAATGGCCTCCTATTCTGTCTCTGATGCTGTTGCAACTTATTACCTGTACATGACATATGTCCATCCGTTCATTTTTTCTCTCGCAACTATCATCCCAATGGTCCCTGATGAGGTTTTACGGAAAGGGAGTGGCACCCTTTGTGAAATGCTTCTGATGGTTGAGGTGACTTTCATCTACTACAAGGTCTTTACCAATCTTTACTGTGTGGCACATTCTATTAATTGGAAGTCTTCCATTCTCAGTTCAGGCTTACAAGGCAAACGTTATATGTCCCAACAAAAATCAAGCTGACCCTGAGAAGTTCTACCAAGGTCATCTTCTTGAAAGTGAGACATATATTGGTGGCCATGTAGAGTGCCTCGAAAGTGGTGTTTTCAGATCTGACATTCCAACCAGTTTTAAGCTCGACACATCGGCATACCAGGCAAGTTACCTGCTTTATTTTTATGCAATATAATTTTTATTGTTTTTTGCTGAACATTACTTTTTCTGATATAGTTTCTATTCAAAGATCAATTGTTTTTATGTTTATTCTAGTCTAAAGCGGTGTAGCTTACAGTAAAATGTATGTAGTCTGTAATGGATGCCTGAAGCAAAATGCTCTGCGTTCTTTTGTGTGTGAGTGTATCATAACTAATTTATGCATCTATCTGATATTGGA